GGGGCTGGGGGGTGGGGGGGGGCGGGGGGGGGGGGAGGGGGGGGGGGGGGGGGGGCGGGGGGGGGGGAGGGGGGGGTGAAGATTAAGAAATAATTTATAACATAATATTTTATTTACAGAATAAGGAGAAACCGCTCGGCATAGAAGAAATTAAGCATAATATAAATATGTTGAAGGGGAAACTCATGGTTGGTAATTTTATATTTGCAATATATATATATTCACTTCATGAATTTTTGTGATATTATATTTTTTTTTTCAAGAATAGTGCATCAAAGCTACAACGAGAGCTAGTTAAAATTTTGAATGGGATATCTGTTTCCGAGCTGACCTGGGATAATCCTTTATCTAGCCAGGTGATCAGCTACGATTCGTTAGTAGTTCAACGTTTGCCAAAAAAGCAGAAGGAAAAGTTCATGGTAAGAATCATCCATATTTTTGCAGTAGGCAATTCAGATTAACTAAATCTTATAATGAAAATTTTCTTATATAGAAACTGATTAAAAAAATGGTACCTTCAACAATCCCTTCGAGTATATTCGGTGAATGTAATAAATTAGTATCAAATTTCTTGCCACGGAAAGAGTTGAGATTGCGTTCCGGTTTATCACATGATGGAAAATGGAAGGAGAGTGATGACAAGCTTAAAGAAATTGCGATGAAGATATTGGATTCAATAAGAAATATTTGGTGTAATCCAGCTTTTGGTAATGAGTTTATTGAATCATTGAACGAGGGCACTTATGTGAATAATGTGGTCGTGTCTGCAATAAGGGGGTTTTCATTTGGGATTATCGTAAAGAGGCTAAGCTAATTCATCGCTGTTTTGTGAAATTAATGCCAATCTTTACCCCGTCTTCGTAAATATTGAGTGATTCTGAGCTGAAGTAATTAATGATCACCAAATCCGAAATTAGCTTTCTATTTCATAATATCTGAAATTGGTTTGTTAGTCGCGATGAGTGTGGTATATGTGCTTTGGTACTAACTCCGTTATAAAAATGAGATAAGTATATGGAAAACTTATGTGTCCCGCCTTCTCGTGATTCTCACTCGAAGCCAGATATATACAGATAA